CATTTGATCTAATTATTTTAAGAATATTTTTGGAGTACAACTTTCGTGTTAAAATGATACTATTCATTACCATGCAATTTTTTTTTTCTACCTATGCTGATAGCCTTGAGAGGCTATTTCAGCTTCGCCCTAACGTTGTAGGTGAGCTCGCGGGGCTCAACGGAGAGTTGCTAACACTGACCCTAGCAAGAGCAGTGCTTCGCAGAATCTACCACCGGATCGGAAACGCGACCCACTGAGAAGATCCGGCGAGAAACTCAGTGGGCTGTGCTAAGTCTACGGGCACGAAATTTGCGATGGCTGAGCGATGGCGGCAGCGGGGCGACGCGACACGGAGCGGGTAGGCAGCGATATCTCGCGCGGGCACGAAACAAGCTGGCGGGCAGTCGCGCTTGAGCAGTGTTGTGCGAATCATGAGTTTACGTCGAAGAGAACTATTGGAGCCTAGTCTCCTATTGAGAGAATTATTATTACCTAGAGATGGTGTTCATCCAATAAATCAACGAAGACGCAATTTGGGAGAATTTTCTACGCTTTATTACGAGCTAAGGTGTCATTCAATGAAATTTTAAATTCCTTGTTAAATTATAAATTCCTCATTATCAATTTCCATTACTAAAATAATAACTGAACACAACACTGTGTACCCGCGCAAGCAACGAAACCAAAGTAGTTTGTTCTCGTCGCTTCCGCGTCGCCGTCGCCCCATCATCGCCCGTACATCGCTCGATCGCCCCGCTCCGCCATCGCCCGTTTCGTGCCCGTCCCCATACTGTGCAATGCTTTTGTATACATCGCCGTCGCGCCGCTGTCGCCATCGCTCGGCCATCGCAAGTTTCGTGCCCGTAGACTATGGGTTAGTTCGCTCGTCGAGCCCTTCGTCGCAAGCGACGGGTTCGACGAGGACGGTGACCGGTACCATGCAATAGGAGATAGTTATGATACTTGTATTTTATAATAAAATTAATAATTCCTAAATTCATTACGTAGTTCAAAAAATGTAAATGTAATGCACACAAAATCAGTTTTTCTTGAAATGCTAATTATTTAAAAGTTCAAGAAATATATTGCAGGGTCATTTAGTAGAAATTCATTTAATATGGAAGAATAAACTTAGTATGTATATATATACTCTATAAACAGGATTTTAAATAAATAAAAATATTTCCGTCTATATTAACTTAATTATTATTATCGAGAAGTATCTTGATTGATAATATATATTACAAGGCTTCGTTTTTTTAATTTAATTGTTTTTATGATCGATCAATCACCAATAGACGTTGAAAAAACGATAATTGATCAAAATGAATTAATCTAAGCGATAAAAATAAAGATATCTAGTAAGAGGAGGCAACTTTATAACGCCAGAAAGTCTACTTTCATTTGATTTAAACTTTTTTTTTAAATTAACGCCATCTAGCGTTTGTACGTGGCGCAGTGTGGAGAAATAGATATTTTTTTAACTCGATACTGCATGTCGTGACTGTAAGATGTCGTCTATTGTTCGACGACGAACTTTGCACCTCACTGGCATGCAGAATCTTCGAGAAACGACACATTATTAATATAATAGGTCAAGATCACTTTGTCAATGGCTTTTTATTGTAACATCTCTCGAGCTGCGAGGTGATTATATTCTTTGATTTACCAAAGTCAGTTTCATTAATCCTTGGTGTCGTGTGTTAAACCAGGGTAACAGGTTTTGAATTATTCTCCACACTGTGTCCACAAACCTTAATTAAATAAATTTTAAACGGTATGTCTTGATACGTAGGTCCTTATGACTGGTACAAACACGCACGTCATCTCGGATCCTCCCGATCCACTAACGGTGCTTTTAGGTACTTCGAGCACCGGTCACCGTTCTCGTCGAACCCGTCGCTTGCGACGAAGGGCTCGACGAGTAAATTAACTCTCAGACACAGCCCACTGAGTTTCTCGCCGGATCTTCTCAGTGGGTCGCGTTTCCGATCCGGTGGTAGATTCTGCGAAGCACGGCTCTTGCTAGGGCTCGTGTTAGCAACATCGTCAGGTTTGAGCCCCGTGAGCTCACCTACTAAAGTTAGGGTTACGCTGACATAGCCGCTAGGGCTATCAGCTTAGGTAGGAAAAAAAAAAGAAAAAAAAGTAGCTTTAAGTGTATAATCTATACCTGTAACGCCCCGTCTGCGAGACAGGGACTTTTTGGCGGGAACGCGAGGAGTGGAGTTGTGTGATTTGTTTTACTTTGTCTATTTAGTGTTTCTTCGGGTTTAAATGTTTAATAATGGTGGTTTATTAACCGTTTAATATCTGTGAATGTGCACAAATGTGGGAAAATGAAACAAAGCCGCTGGACGTAACTTCTCGGGATCCTCCAAAAATTCCACTGAAAAAATCTTAGTAAATGACCACCATTTTACTGAGATTATATTTCATCCCATATCATTTCATTTAATTTCATCCCAGTTGAGTAATGTCTCAAATTAATCATCTTCATTTCATTTCACTCCATAATATCATTTTTCATAAAAATATGAATGTAAATTAAAATAAGACATGACTTAAAGGTCTCAGTTAACAGGTCATAAAATCCCTTTAAAAAAAAAGCCTTGGGACTAAAGATGGGTTAATATCGATATTTGTCAATATTAGCTAATACAAATATATTCGTTATGTAATATTATAATACCTTAACTAAAACGTGAATATTCTGATATCTTAATATACTAAAATATACTTCGATAAAACGGGTAAACGAGTTTAACCTAATACGGTATTCGTGAAATAAGTTAATAATCATAGATAATACACATAAATTAGTTATTAATAATATAAATAGTATATTGTATCTAGGAATTTGACTTCATACTAAATATTTTACAAGTAATATTATGTACATTAAAATGAACATTATTATTAAATCAGAATTTGGTCAACATTGTACATTAATATAAACAACAAGTTAGTAATATGGTAGACGTACGCGTTTTTTTACTTATAAATAATTTTATTTTATTTTTTGGATTGGATCAGTAGTTTAGTGTAGTTTGTATATTAATATATATATATTTTTTTTTAAGTTTTATTTATTAAAATTTTATTTAAAAGTGAATTAGGACTTTTATTGGTAAGTTTTTTTTTTTCTTAACTTTTGCTCCTTATGGAGCCGCGTGATGACCCTGGGGGCGGAGAAGTCCCTGGGGTCGGTTATAATGTAACAATATCAAATGAATCTGGAATGGAAACCGATCGATCCGTTAAATCTAGCAGTGGTGCTCGAAAACGTAGAGCCACTGTCAATAAGCATTGCTCTAAATGCCATAAAAAAAGACGAAATCGGAGACGAAATGAGGGCAAAGAAATAAAACCAAACGAATGTGATTGCATACCTGTGTTTAATAATAACACTAACACCCAAAGTATTACTCCTCCCCAATTCACTGACTCGCAACTGAATTCCAATAAGTCCAATCAGTACAAAAAACCAGAATCGGTAGCTAGATTAAGTTATCAGGTAAGTGATGCAGCACCATATGTTGTTCATGTGCAAAAAATACAGCAAGCTCCTAACGATAATGTTACAGTTCACCCTATCGCTTTTGGTCGTTTTTTAAAAAGGAATTCTATCCACAACATCGTTAACGGAAGCTTAAAAAGAATTGGCCGTAATAGACTGTCTCTGTCTTTTAATAATTACCAAGACGCAAATTCTTTCTTAAACAGCCCTGCTCTGCAATCCGCCGAGTATAAGGTTTTTATCCCAACGTTTACTGTGACCCGTATGGGTGTTGTAAGAGGCATACCTGCTGAGTGATCAGATGAAGAAGTTATGGAAAATATTAATTTACTTGTTGGATGCGGTCCGATTTTAAAAGTAAGAAGAATGAGACGGCGTATCATTACTAGTAATGGCACTGAATTTAAGGCTACTGAAACTCTGGTTCTCACCTTTGATGGGCAAATTCTACCTAAGCGAATTTTTATTTGCTACACTGCTCTCCCAGTGGATCTTTACATTTTCCCCACAATACAATGTTACAATTGTTGCAGATTTGGTAATGTAAAAGCATTATGTAGGTCAAAACCAAAATGTTTCAAGTGTGGCCAAGACCATACTGCTGACCAGTGCTCTATCCTAGAGGAAGATGCACATTGTTGTTTATGCCAGGGTTCCCATTTTGCCACAAGTAAAAGATGTCTAGAATTTGAGCGCCAAAAAGCCATTAAAGAAACTGTGGCCAAGAGCTGTATTTCGTACGGTGAAGCATCTAAAATTCATGCACCCATTTCTAAAATATCTTATGCTGATGCTTTACTTTCTTCTTCCAATGTCGGGGCTTCTACTATTTCTACTCCTCGATATGAACAGCCTCATAAACAACCTTTCAGTAACTCTTACAAAAAGACTGTTTTTCTTAAACCAAAATCTATTCCTGAGCTATCTAAAGGATATGACCAAAAAACACAACAAGAATTAATTAAGGATTATGATATGCCCTCACCCAGAAATGGTATTGCATTAATCTCAAATAACCATAATGAATTGACATTACAATCAATTGCAGACCTCATTAAAATTCTCATTAACACTTTATCACAGTCTAATATTCTTCCACCATCCAACGCTGCCCCTTTAATTGACACTATCGTTAACTTACCAAATTATATTAATAATGGACAAGCAAGCCAACGCCCTACAGTGGAACTGTAGAAGTGCTTCGTCTAAGAAAAGTGATATTATTTATCTTATAAATAAATATAAACCTTTTATCTTTGCTCTACAGGAGACTTGGCTAAAACCAGGTGCTCCTTTTAGGTACTCTGGATATACCTGTCTCCGGGAAGATCGTATTGACGGGTATGGCGGGGTTGCCTTACTAGTCAAACATCATCTTCCTTTTTCTCACTTTCCTATTCCTTCTCACAGTAATGATTTTTCAATTATTGCTGCTATTGTAAATAATATCTGCTATGTTTCAATATATATCCCTCATTCAAGTTCTTCTATCTTTGTCGAACTTGATTCTATCATTTCTACTCTTCCTAAGCCTTTTATCTTATTAGGCGACTTTAACAGTCAACATAGTTCT